TATTATTTTTTTTTATTTTCATAAGTCGACTCGAGCTGCTTTCCTTTGTGTTGTGCGGAATATTTTCCATTCATGCTCTGGATATTAAAATGATGTTCCTCTGAGGACACATAAACATATAGTTTTTCTGTTATCATACATCGCATTGTTTAACCTTGCGTATTCCGCTTGGGGAATTACATTTGCACTTTGACTCTGGATTAAGCGTGAGCCAGCGGCGCTTTAGATGCTTTCTTTCCCATACTATAGGTATAGGTATTTGTTTGTAAAGTATAAAACTATCAACCTTTATGATTCCACTAGGACGTAAACCGCAATCAAACGAGAGAGCAGCTCACTGAGCAGTAGAGCAGATGTTAGTACAGTTGACTCTTCTCATGGCATGACTAGAAATTGCAGCCTTCTGTGATTTTTCCGACTGGCACTGCGTGAACAGCTCTCTCCAGCAGCGCGTAAATCAAAGTCAACAGAGAGAAAGAACTGTTCACTGAGTTCATTGAGTACATTGATTACACATGTGAGCTCAGCTGAAGCACACTCGGTGCGACTTTTACCAGTTCCATTTTCCTATACTTGCAGCCACATTCATAGACCCTGCCAATATTTTATCAATATCAAAATATAAAATCACTTTGTAACTCTTTGTTTGGTTTTGAAACTTCTTGACTTTGGCTTGGCATATTTGATGGGCCACTAAAGGTTGACCGTATATGGTACATCAGTTGCCTGTGTTCCGTTCAACATTGTGTTTTGGCCTTATTGTTTTTATTCCTGTTTTTCTGGCTGGCCACAGCCATCAACTAGCAATGTAATGCAATCAAATGCTAACGCTTGATTTATGGCCAACTCGGGGCTGCAGCGAATTGCTGGCGCTGGCGCTGGCGCTGGGTGCGTGTGCGTTTTATGGCATCCATGCAGCTGTAGTCGCTGTCGGAGTCCTGCTTATTGTCGTCTATTGACTTTTGGCTGTTGGCCACGTAGCGGCAATGCCACGTTGGCTACTCAATCTTTCGACGTGACTTTTCGACTGCCGCATGACGTTTTAGTTAATGAAATCGTAAGAGTGCTCGAGTTGGATGTGGATGTGGAATGGGAGCTAGAGCTGGAGCTAGAGCTGGAGCTGGAGCTGAAGAGTGTACCTATGGAGGAGCAGCTCTAAGTGCTCTAGGAGCAGCTTCTGGGTGCAGCAGCTGCATTTTGTGTGATTTGTTGGCCCAGTGGGGCCAACTAATGCACAGCCACGTGCTGGTCGTTAAACTAATTTCCAGCTAAGAGCATCGAGCGACAAATGTTGTGCACTTTTTAATTACAACCACAAAAACTTTGCACTGCCAAATTGGCCAGATTGCAGATTGCTGACTGCAGATTGCAGTTTGCAGGTGGCAATGCCAAGCAGAGTTGCGAAAAGTTTGGGATAAACGAGAGCAAGGCTAGAGCTAGATGGCAAACGAAAAGTTATGTATACGACATGTGCAACGACTTACTTGGGGTATCCGAAACAATCTCAGCAAATTGGCCACCTGTATGGATGTCACCGATGAGGCAGCACCCACCACGCCCGATATCACCTTGCGCACTTGCGTCTTGTTGCAATGATATTCGGCATCGTCTATGTTGCTAATCGAGCCTGCAAATAAATTAAATGTGGAAATTTTAAATTAAAATGAGGATTTTAAATATTTTAGCCTAATGATTATTATTACTATTAAATTATATGTATACATATATTTATCATGTTATTTTATGTAGTGATTGAATTCATTATTATTATTATTAAAAATCTCCAAAGTCAAATGTTCTTTTTTTTTGCATTTGATTTTATGCATTTAAATGTGTAATTAAGTAAAAATCTCTTAAAAATAAAAAAATTTAATATACTATTATTATTACTTGATTACTTGATTATTTTCAGTATTACTTTTTTTTTACTATTAGTATAATATATTATTACTATCATTATTTGTATTATATTATGCAGATATTCAATAAATGCATTAAAAATATATTCTATTCGCTATGTGATAATTAAAATTTTCAGCAAATCCCCAAAGTCGAAATTTCCATTCTTGATTATTTATGCAAATCTTCATTCAAATAATTATTCCCATATGTAAAGCTCAATTTATTTTTGACTTCCGCAAATTGAAATGGTTTCATTTTAATTGCATGTGATATTTTTGCATTTAGTAATTCCAAGTGTTATCAACTCAATTTAAGCTTGTCAGCTCAATTAAGATTTAAAACTAAAAACTAATAAACCAATATTGAATCATGGATGGCCTGCGGCCAGCACAAAGTTGTAAATGAAAAGTCAACGTTGTTGGTTAAAGTCAAAGCAGTAAGAGAGAGAGAGAGAGAGAGAGAGAGAGAGAGAGAAAACTATATATATATA